CAATTTATTTACATTTCTCACTGATCTATCGAGGGTTTGACGTTAATTCAACAATACACATACTTAAATATTGCGCAATACATCTTCATCCTGTTTGGTGTTTTGACGTTCCACGACATAAATGATGGAGTACTACGTTCGCCAGGAAAATGTTACGACCGTGGAATTTCTCGCCGACATGTTTCATCTACATATTTATATTTAGATCTAAATTCAAAGAGCTTTCATGAATTCGATGTTATAAACCTAATGTTTAATTTTGTTTTCACGTCTTATTCCTTTTGAAGTAAGGAAGTCCTTTAAAATTGTCGCAAATTATGACATGACGTGTGCCCCATGCTCTTAAATAGTATCTTAATATACCTGCATATAAGTATTATACAAATATATACTGTTTACCGTACCCCTCCAGGAATATGTGCAGGCCGGAATTCAATTAGGGCTCCCCGATATCGAGAATATTTAGTTACTCTCTCGCGAATCGTAACTATATTAACCGACCTCTATAAAACGTCGCAATATATTGATGTTTTCTATTAAAAATTCTCGGAGTAATACCTTATCGACACTGTTGTAGGGGCAAATGAAAATTGTCTCGCGCTTATATGTACGATTCCCAACTGAATAATTGTGATCTAAATTGTTGTTCAATTTCCCAGGGTTCAAGCCCGGAATGCTGCGCTGACACTTCTAATTTCGAAATTTCGTCCGCGGGTGTACCGGTGCCGCCTCCCGGGCCGCGCTACAAGCTGGCCGCTGAAGGCACGCTGAGGGTCTGCTCCTTCCAGCACACCAGGACTGTTGTCGACAAGATCCTCGCCGCTAAGTTCCTACGCCGATGGGAGTCGCACATGCTGCATTTGCTAGAAGAACATCTGATCTCTAAGACGGTAAGTGAACTAGTCAGAATTATAAAGAGGTAGATAGTATATGCTGAGGATAAAATTGTGACAATTTTTAGTTTTCTGTTTTGAAGAAAGCAAAGTAGATTAATTGTAACTCATATGCATTTAGTAATCGAGATTTAGTGAGTATACGAGTAGTAGGCAATTGATGTGGTCACTTATAAATATCGACGGTTATTCTAATTTCAAGGTTTTATATGTTTGTATAATTTTGAAATTTAATCATGCCTTCGTCCGGGCGAATTACAAAATTTTGTACCAAACATAACACAGCCTATGTTACTTTGTGATAACGTAGCTTTCAATGCCAAAAGAATTTTTGAAATCGGTGCCGTAGTTTTTGAGTTTATTCTTTATACAGCAAAATACGAAGCATTCCTCTTGATTATGTTTTTAAACATAAGATAGAATGGGATGAAGATTTATTTACAGAGTTTAGTTCTTGAGTTGGCATAAACCATGTCTAATTATAAACGCGGCGCCATAAATGCTAATTCAACACCCTGTCTTTGACGCATGAGACTCATACGCACCGACTGCATATTTATACAATTTTATTTTACACTAGCTGTTGTTTGAGACTACGTCCGCGTGGAATTAAAAAAGTAATCATACTAATATTATAAATGCGAAAGTTTAGATGAATGGATGGATGGATGCATGGATGGATGTTTGTTAGAGTTTGTAGACTGAATGGCTGATCGGATATCGATGAAATTCGGTATAGATATAGAGGATAGTCTGGAAGAACACATAGGCTACTCACTTTTGTTTTTTTTTTTTTAATTCCACGCGGATGGAGTCACGGGTGAGAGCTAGTAGTACTTAAAAAAATAGTAAGTTACGGTGGTAACGTAGGTTTTTAATAGTGAAGTTATTTCAATACGTACAAAAATCTTTACTCTTTATAATATTAGTATAGATACTTGTATTTTTTTGTACATTGTTGCACCACAAATGTTCTCTAGCGTCATGGATAAATGGAAGATATTGTCTCATCATTTAAAACGAACAAGATTGGCCTCTGGAACCTTCTGCTTTAATTAAATTAAATTGTCTTCGTTCCTCTATAAATGAAGTCCGTGTTGTTTGAAACATAAAATACTCTTAAAGGTAAGTTAATGCAAATGTAAACAGAATGCGTCGATTGCTTCTCCAGGAATAAGACACGCCTACCTCACGTCGATAAAATGACGCAGAGAATTTACTTAAGAGCTGTTCAGTCAACCGGATTATTGCTTTATCATTTTATATTCGTCTTTTTACCCGACTGTACATTGATAGAAAAAAAATCAGTTGTTTCTTTAAAACAATCAAATATATTTAAAACGGTTAGATTTTATGTAGTTAACATCAGTAATATCAGACTCAAATATCTCAATGCGGACTCAAAATGATTTGTAAAACCTTAATATTGTGTATCGTATAACATTTTGTAGTGACATTGTATTATTTTTGTTCTTTATACCAATTGACGATTTGCGTATGTAATAAATGTTCATTCTTTATGTAACATTTGACTATTGCGATTGCTTTAGTAATACTTTTTAAGTTAAAACGGTAATTAAAAAAATTGTAACGATAATTATTATCTCCCTTCTTTCCAAATAAAAAAACATAACAACTTACGATTAAAGTTTTGTTTTGTTCGTTTATCTTTTATATATCAAATTTGATATTCAAATTATGCAAAAAATCTGATGAATGTTGTGTAAAACAAACAAAAAAAAACTTTAACTAAGTATCTTTTCTTTTTCTACTTACAGTGTAGTTTAGCAGTTTTTATTCATGTTTTTTTTTCGAACATTCGCGTGAGTAGCACAAAAATAAGACTTAATTAGATTTTCTTTCAAAGAAGGCTTGCTTGTTTTTCAATATAGATCGCACTTCGATTTACGTATGCGTGTTAATTAATAATTGGCTCTCATTAGCCCGTCACATCATTAGCGGCTGTGCAAATGTTGAAATACGTCATTATTACTCATTTTTATTTACGTAATTGCAACTGTATTTTCATTGAGAGGGGGAAAACAATGGCCGGATATCGATGTTTGTTCGACGTGAAAATAATTTCACCCAAGGCGGCCTGTTTTAACGCTATCCAATGTTATATTAATAGTTTGTTCTGCATTACTTTGAGGTTATACGTACCAGCAAACTATGAACACGAGTAAGAGCGGGCGCACACCTTCGACTAAACTATCGCAGAACAGTTGTGCGATTGTTGATTGTAATAACTAAAAATGGAGTAGTGTGCGCACCATCATATAAGCTAAGGAATTATTGACAGTTGTGTAATAATTTAGTTTCAAGTATGCGCACGCTCTTAAACTCGAATGCGCAGGGATTTAGCTATATTGTAACTGTAGAATTCGATTGGCGCGAAACTTGTATGAATGCATATTTCTGTCTCTATTTTGTTATAGACAATGAAAGGGATGACAATGTTTAGCAGTAAAAGGGTCACGGCAGTGAAGTTCTACGGTTAAGCTGACGAATGCTTGTCACGTAGCCATTATTGTTCTGTGTGTTGCTGGCGTTAATCGATATCATTGTTATCTTTGCAGCGTACGAATTGAATAATTATTTTTATTTTAACACGCAAAATGTTTAGATTACTGACATTCTGTGTTTATTTTTATTATAACACTGATTTATCGTATGTGATGTAAAATTAAGTTAGATTGCCCGTGTGTGTATTTTATATATTTTTTGTACTTTCTCGACTAATAAATGTAGGTGTGTTTTCTGGCGGTATTCTCCACTAACAAATCCATCATTTAACTGTCTTTATGCCTTCAATTGTTTATAAAGCGTGGTTGTAATATAAGCTTATTCCTCTCAGTAGTCTAGAGTACAATTCAGTGTAATTTACACGTGTTTTTTATTGTGCCAAAACACTTTTAGCTTTTTATTTGTATAAAAGGTGCAAATGCAATTATCTTGTAACTGAAATTCCGTAAATAAAGGCAACTGTGCATATACGTAGAGGATGTTGGAGAAATTAAATTTTAGTTTTAATACAATATTTCCCCCGATGGCCAGCGCGACATGAACTTTTAGCTACGGATACCGGTAACGTGATTAGTGAGCCAGGAGAGCAGTTATTAGATTTTATACTCCCAACCTAACGCATTTATCGAAATTTTAACTTTGAAAATGTTAGATAAAGTTATTTTTTCATCGTTATCTTTTTTCAAATCGGCTCATTTTAATTTTCTTTATAAAACAAAACACCAACACCTGTCTGTTCCTTATTGTTCAGGGCGTGGTTGGATTTAAAACAATGTTCACGTCCATTTTACTATCGTACGCTTACAGAACATGTTAAAAACGATCAATAGCCATATCGAAAGCTCGCCTCGCTGCATACATTGCTGCACACATAGCTGCGATGTTTTCAAACTACACAATGATGTTTTCAAGGATTTTTACATTGAAATTTATATTTTTTTGTTGTAAATTTTTATTTGTATTACCATTTGCTGCCGTTTCATACTCAAGTATTCTAGTTTCTATCAATAGAAGAAAATGTAAACACTTTATTCAAAGAATGTCATTGACAAAAGTCGGCTGGTTTTTGAATTTCCATCAGCCGCGTTTATCGCGATTCTACCGTAGTGCCAATAACTATTACCACTTTCTACCAGTTAGTGTGTATATAGATCGAACTATTGTTTGTGTAACGTGAACCAAACGAGGTCAAAATGGTTGATAAGAACATTCGTGCGTCACAAACGCTTACTACATTATGTTTAGTCGCTTAGTTAATTGGACTAATTGGCTATGTTTTGGCTGTGCGAAGCTATCTATGTCCCGATTGAAACGAGCCGAGGCAAATAGTGCGTTTCGGTAGCCGAACACAAATATTTACATTGCTCTGCCTACAAAAGCGGATCCAACCGCTCCGAACAGTTCCCGTTTGACGTCAAGTAGCACAAGGAAAAATGGTAATAGCGTTCAAAGCGAAATCACATTTTATATTTGATCGCACAAACCGAGGGAGAGATATTATTCATGTTTATATAATAAATGCTGGTGGGTATTTTCGAAGACGTATTTCGGTTAAGATAAACAACAAATTTCCAAGTCATAAGTTATACAACATAATGTGCCAAATATTGAATCTAATAACTACGTAAATGGGAATTGTTTATATTAAACAAATATCAATTATCCTAACATTTATTATATTTCCTACACTAGTATGTTCGTAGATGTAAAAAGTTTTGGGTTGGGCATACACACATGTCTGTATTAGAAAAGATTTAAAAATAATACACACACAAACTTTAAATGAATTGTTTTATAGAAACAAATCGATTTCAAACAGTTAACAGCAATTTTTTACATCAGCAAAGGCTATTTTAGTATAAAAGTAAAACTAATAACAATTTCTAGTACCAACAAGCAAGGGAATGAAATTGGTAATTTGATATTAAAGTACTGCAAACATTCGTTTGTTATTTATTTCCGAACAAATTGTATTATTGTACCAGTACAGTTAGAGAAATATACAATCCTTTAGGGATGTATTTCATTACAGTTTTCTTATATTTCTTTATACACATATTCAAACTCAATCGAGAAAAACAAACATTAAAAGATGTAATTGACCAACGGAAAATAAATTGAGTGGAAACATTTTAACAATATAATTACTGCAACTATAAAATTGATCAAAGTTTTATATAAAGCTAGCTATCGCCCGCGACTCCGTCCGCGTGGAATTAAAAAAACAAATGTAAGTAGCCTATGTAGTCTTCCAGACTATGCTCTACACCTATGCCAAATTTCATCGAGATCCTTTCAGTCGTATAGGCTACAAACTCTAACATCCATCCATCCATCCATCCATCCATCCATCCATCTAAACTTTTGCTTTTACATTCGCACTCTTTAATATTAGTAAGAGTAAAATTGAATACACATTCTAAAATTCACTCTAAAATATCGACGTAAATTGCTACTGTCACAACATAAAG